TAAAGGCCGACAAACCGTTCTGTTCGATTTAAAGTTTATTAACAAAATAAAATATGAAAAACAGAAATACAATTTTCATTACATTAAACAAAATTCAAAACCTACTAAGGATGAAATTTAACAAGTGAATGTATTCAAAGTATAATCCAATAAGATATTGATATGATATGATGATATCATATTTATTGAGGTCCGATACGAAATTGACAATATTGGCCCATTCCTACGGAACCTACTCCATAGAGGGTCAACAATTTGAATAATTATAACAAAAGCCAAAATATATTTAAATAATCGAACATTGGTTGACTTGTTTTGAGAGCACTTCTGTCAGAAAAAGGCGTTTTGGAAGGATTTTGTCTGTAAAACAATTTTTGAAAAGTTGTCTGTCTATAGACGTCATCTAAAATGGAAACCTTTCCGTAAAAATGCCTTTTACCTTAAAACATTTGTCTATAAAATATATTTTTGAGGAACCTCTTTGAAGAGTCCTTTAAAAGTCTTTGGAATGGTTTCCTGTCTCCAGTCTTCAGGAAAGGATCATTTCGAGAGGCATTCTTTGCGTGAAGGATTTTTGTCTACAGAAAATATGTTCCAATGTATATAAAAGAACTCTTGAAGGTTAACTGCCTATTAAAGACTTATGATGGGTTTTCTGCCTACAAAATACCCTTCGAGGGGCCCTATCTATTTTTTTTGTATTCTTCTTTACATTTTTGAATATTTTCTAATTTTATCCTCCCAATTTTAAATACATTTCTCGTTCAATTTCTGTTCTATTAAATTGCAATTATTGTTTAACAAAAATCCACTGCATACTTTTAGGATCGCAACATAGTTTATGTCGACTGCTTTGTACAAGCATCACCAAGAGGTTAGCATATTTATGCTGCCTTCTAACATAAATTTCTATTTAAGTGTTTTGTGTGTTTTCCAGTTGCTGGCTTTTACCGAATGTCATTCGCTCCCCAAACGCCCAAAACTCAAAGTGTGGTGCGTAAATTTGTTGAAGTCCTCCTGGCTTGTTTGGTTCTCCAAAGGCCTATTAGAGAAAATATGCGTTTTGTGGGGTAGCAAAATGTTGTTGTTGCTCTCGCTGTTGTTTGTTTGTTTAGTGCGTTATGGCATTAGCCACTCATGGTATTTTGTTGCTGCTGTTCTTCCTGTTATTCGCAACGCTCGATTCTCCAGCTCTCTATTATTTTTCAATTCTATTGTCATTGATAAACGTTTGGCAATTGTCAAATGGCAAATTTGTGCCATAAATTAGAGGCATAAGTAGAATATTGGGAAACCAAAAAAACACAAACAAAACAACAAACGAACAAACGTATGAACCCAAAGAGAATCCCAACCAAACCAAACTGAACCGAATGGAAATCCTCCATTGATACCATCCATAAACAGGAAAAACATACAATTTCTGGGAATTCGATGATAAAGAATTTTTCTTCAAATGATAATGAATGGTATTCGATAATGGTAAATACTGTTGGGACAATATGTGGGCATGGGTATGGGCATGGTATATATTCGATGGTAGCGGACATCAATGGTTAATTAAATGCCTGGGGATTGTGTTTGGAATTTGAAATACCAACGTTTGAGGCAAATATGATTTTTTGAAAATATAATTTTGTGTGGGGGTGTATTTTAAAAATACGGTATTTTAGTACTCCTAATATACGAATATGAAAATTTTTTCGGTGCTAATATTAATACATATTTATTCGATTTCATACCAATATTTTATACTTCTTCATGCCATATCTCCTCAAAAATTGTTAATAAATGAATCTTGGAAAAAATCAAAGGTATTTTGTCAACAATTTTGCTATGACGAATATAAATTAGAGATCTTATCAATCCTTGAACTTGAATACAATTAATCAGGAAGCATACTTGGCAAAAGCATTTTGACGAAAATATGTTGTCGAGAAACTCTTCAACGGCTGTCAAATGGTATATAACTTGATTTATTAGCTCAGCAAAGGAAATACATTTTAGAAGAGAAGACATTAATGATACCTTGCAAGTAGGTATCTTCATGGTCACAAAGGTAAACAAAAAATTGACAGCCTAGCTTCTTCTTATTAGGCGCTTACAAAGGCTGATTGACTCGATGACAAAAAACTTTTATATTATTACACCCACTTGAAATTTCAGATCATAACATATTTTTGCACAGCGATAACCAGAACTTCGGAGTTTATTTCTTCTTCCAGGTCGAGGTTGAAAACTGTAACGAAGTCGGAAACTATGTTTCTATGAAATTCTTAAATTATTGCAATATCCACTTTCCGACTCGAAATTTGGGTTATCTTTTAATAAAGGCTATTTTCATACCCTACACCACATAGTGGTAAGGGTATTACGTATTTGTGCATTTGTTTGCAACATGGAGAAGGAAGTGAGATAGAACCATCATCACTTTCGAGGAACTTCAGATAATCATTTTCTGAGTCGATTTATGCATATGTCCATGTAGTCTTGTGAACAATATGCAGATCGCATTTTTATACCCTACACCACATAGTGGTAAGGGTATTATGTCTTTGTGCATTTGTTTGTAACATGAAGAAGGAAGCGAGATAGACCCATAGTTACTTTTGAGGATCTCCATAGAATCACTTTCTGAGTTGATTTATGCATGTCAGTCCGTCTGCCCGTCTGTCCATGTATTCTTGTGAACAAAATGCAGGTCGCATTTATTATCCGATTGAGATGAAATTTTGCACATATCATTTGTTTGGCCCAAGGACAAACCCTATTGAAATTGGAGATAATCGGTCAAAATTTAGATATAGCTCCCATATGCATCTTCGTCCGATTTGCCTTTTATTATGCAGCAAACGTGTCCGAATAGTATAGAATTTTGCACATACAACCAGATTAGGCCTAAAATAAGTATGCCAAATTTGATCGAAATCGGTTCAGATATAGCTATAGCTTCCATATATATTGTTCATCCGATTAGTTATTTTTGTCCTCCGCAGCCGTAATATGCACTCTGTAACAATAATATTTGAGGAAATATATCAAATACAGCTCAGAAATACCTTTGCTAAATTTTATCGAGATCGGTTCAGATTTGAATATAGCTCCCATATATAACTTCGTCCGATTTACCTTTTATTGTGCACCAAACGTCTAATATTTGCCCAAATGGAATGGACCGAATTGAGTCTAGAAGCTAGTATGTCAAATTTGGTGAAGGTCGGTTCAGATATAGCTATAGCTCCTATATATATTGTTCATCCGATTTGTAGTATTTGTTACCCAAGCCGAAATATGCACTCCGTATCAACGATATTCAGGGATATATATCAAATTAGGCCTGAAAATAAGTATGCCACATATGATCGAAATCGGTTCAGATATAGCTATAGCTCCTATATATATGGTTATATATATATATTTATATATCTTTATCCGATTTTAAATTAATTTAGCACCAAATGGGCAATACAAGTCCGAATTTAAAAGATACAAATGATTCGGCATATTTAGTCCTTTGAACTTTAAATTATAATTATAATCATAGCGTATATGATTGAATTTTCCTATAAACACTTTTAATTGTTATGTGGAACTCTACTAAATTAGCAATGTGGTGTAGGGTATCAAAAAGTCGGCCTCGCCCGACTTTAGGACTTTCTTTACTAGTTTTTCCATTGAGATTAAATTTTGCATTTTTTTTTTTGGCCCAGGAACGAACCCTATGAAATTGGTGATAATCGGGTCAGGTTTAGATATGGCTCCTATACATCAAATGACCTGAATTTTGGTACATCCCATCGAATTTTAGTCTAGAATCGAGTTCATCAAATTTGGAGAAAATAGGTTACATGTATATGTTTCATCCGATTTGGGGTTTGAGGTCTCTCACATGGTTAATATGCACTCCACAATAATTATATTTGGTACCAGATATCAGATACAGCTCCGAAATAAGTGTGTCAAATGTTGTCAACATCGGTTCTGATTTGGATGTAGCTCCCATATATATCTTCAACCGATTTCGGGTTAATTGTGCACCAAATGTCAATATCAGTCCAAAGTCCTGAATTTTGGTACATCCGACCGAATTCAGTCTAGAAGCAAGTTCATCGAATTCGGAGAATATCGGTTCAGATATAGCTATAGCTCCCATATATAGGTTACATCCGATTCGGAGTCTAAGTCCCCCACATTCGTTATATGCACCCCACAAAATTATGTTGGTATCAGATGCAGCCCAGAAGTATCTCTTCCAAATGTATCAAGATCGAGTCAGATTTGGATGTTTTAATGCCATGAGGAAGGGTATACGCAAACTTAGGGAACTTAATTAAAAAATTGTTGTTGTGTCCCCTTATGGAAAAGTGGTATCAAAGGAAACCAAACCAAAGGAACCTTCACAGAAGGCATATGAGGTACCAAAAACGGATGTACCAACCTCCAGAGCAAGGGAAAGTAAGGCTGAGGTTGAATCAACGGAACAGCAGACTACTAAGAAGTCTGCGAGGAAGAATAAAAAATCGATGCCTGCTAAACCCTTGAAACCAGCTCAGCCGACTCCATCAGTTGATTTAGCAATCAAACTCGCTACAAGAGTAGAATTAACTGAAAATAAGGCTACAATGACCAGGGGCCTAATGCTCGTACTCGATATCGAGTTGTTTCGATAGATAATTTGAATTTTTGGATTACCGTATCCGTGATCGAATAAAATTCATCGATATGTCGAATAAAACTATTCGAGTTTTTGCCCGCCACATTCTACCTGTCGAGACCAAAACAAAACAGAAGAAAAACGAAATGTAAGTATTAAAAAATGTAATTATATAAATAAAATGGATATAATTGAGCCTTTTATTTCACAGGAGCACGAATTGCAACAAAATAAATTTTAAGCAAAAGGCAATTATGGCAGATTTTATGTCTGACCACCCGGGACTTGCCAAAGGAAAAATTTCGAATTGTCCAGAAGGTAGAGCGTCATCCAATCGTTTGTGGGAGCAGTTGACAACCAAATTATGGTATCCCTTTCGGTTGAAGAACATGTGTTCGTTTTCGGTGGGTTTCTGCAATCCGAAATGTGTTCCATCTACACATCCAATTACCAAAAAATGTAAAAATGCATATATTATTTTATTTTAGAATCGAAAAAGTCAATATATTCTTACCTCCAGGAATCCGAAACTTTGTACAGAAATGTTCCATACACAAAGCCGACTGGTCTGGTGAAAAGTTGATGTGTTCTGGACAAAGTTTTAGTTCCATTTCTTTTGCGACTCGCTGGGCAACCCTGCAGGTTGCGCTTTGGCTCATTCCTATAAGAAAATCATTACCCACAGTGTGCTGAAAACTTCCACTTCTTCCAAGAGTGACAAAGTTGATGCCAATTGTAGAACTGCCGGAATGGACGATGACATATGTCCGGAGAAATCTAGTCTAGATACACATATCGAAAAGCATCTTTTGTCTGTCTAAATCGTTGACGGAATCTGCAATGAATTGCAAAAATTATAAACACCACACTTGCATGCATTTTCATATTATACTTACGCATTTTCTGACAATGATAAGGGGTCACTACGTTCTCGAATTTGTCTTCTTATTATATTTATATTATTACCGTCCTCATCTTCCGAAGAGGATAATACAAAAAAACACGTATCCATAATTTTTTTCAACTTTTAATGAAGCGGCAAACAATTGTTTTGTTTACTTTTTGGATAAAAACATATGTTTCGATTGTCGGTATTTCGATTATTTTTTGACAAAAATCGATAAATTTTTGAATAATTCCATTCGAGTCGTATCATTCAATTAGTAACTACGTAATTTAACTACGAACAAAATCTCACTCTATATCGAGTACGAGCATTAGGCCCCAGGTGTGAAGATGATGATACATAACCAGCTTGACTACATGGCTCGGCATATTTATTGCCATACAACAAAGGGATGTCGAAGCCACCGTGCCGTCGTATCATCACCTTAAGATCTCGCCGAAGAAAACAGTCTCTCAGTGGCTGGATATAATTATTCAAATTTTTGACCCGTTGTGGGAGAGGTACCCAGAAGTAGTGGTGCGGCATATTTCATCTTCATACCTGGTTTTGTGATGATAGAGATATTGGGATATGAGAAATTTGAAGAGAATCAGATGCTTATTTCACATTTTATAAAAGATATAATTATATCCGACCTTCACACCAGATCTTGAGCTGGTAGAAACATTGGGATGTGCGAAATTTGAAGATAATCGGACTTTTATTTCCCATTTTATAAGAGTTATAATTATTTCGAATGTTCACCCTTTGTGGAGGAGGTACTTGATGGAGTGGGCCGATATTGTCCTTTTTCGAACCAACACTGATAGAAGTATTGCAATTTGCAAGGTTTGCAAAAAATCGAAAGATCCTTTCTCATTCTATGACATAAGTGATTTTCTTTGGAAAGATATTGTGGGGTTAGTACCAGAAGGAGTGGACCCATGTTACCCATTTCCGAACTCGATCTGAGTTTGAAAATAATATTACGATCGGATACTCCCTTCGAGAGTTATCGTGCGCACCAGCCAAACACACAGACGGACAGACACGCCAAGATCGACTCCAAATGTCCTGAAACGGTTTTGGTCCAAAGAGACCAAATTTCGATGAGAGACCGTAACAAGTGATATATACCCTCTGTAGCCATATGACTGAGGGTATTAAAAAGGTGACGTCCTATGCTTCGCTGGCGACAAAGAAGGATAGTGGCAAGTGCACTAATGGAAAGACGAAAGATGATCCTATCTGTAATGCTTCGCAGAAACCTTGGGAACCAAAACAGAAGCAGGATCATCAGTCTGCTCAATGGATGGTACTAGATTCTTAAAACAATAGAAGATTCTTTGCATTATGATATTTCACATACTCTATAATGGAGGTAGGCAATTGTTCCTCATGACGTGACCAAGGTTAGCGAGTTCCGTTTTTTATAACGAATATAAGTTATCTCATTGGATTCGTTTTTGATAGCATTTGGTATTTTTATACTCTTCGATAGACCACAGTTTATAATCTTTTTATATCAGCCGTTTTAAAAATTCACACTTCAAAGCTAAATTTCAGATTTCTCAATTCATGTATTACGATATCCTATCTAATTTTGTCATTGAAAAGTAAATTATCACCACTTCGACTGTCGATTTAATTTTGATATTTTTCTTTTTGCTCAGAATGTGAAAGTCTCCTTTTAATATTTCCTCAGTCTGATGGGTCCAGAGGTTATATATCAATTGAAACTGTCAAAAATGTATTCGGTATTAAGCGCCACATCTATTTTGCAAAATACATATCCAGATGTTTTGTCTATCAATTCAGCAAATGACAGCTTTCGCCCGTCAATGTGGTTTATTCTCCACCATGATAGTTTACGAAGCGAATCCCCGACTTGCATCAGGCCATCACATTTGTTTATTTTGTTGATAAAATTAAATATTTTTAGAGAATAGATTTAACATTATAATGTTTATTCTATTCTAAGAATTACGTCGAAACACAACAGAGTTTAAAGGTTGCATATTTAAATCCCATATCATTCTTTCGTTTTAATTACAAATATCTTCATCCAAATGGAGCACAATTCAAACTCCCACCCACCACCTAGCTTATTACCGGTATACACATTCCACTCTCCTGTAATTTATAAATCTGAATGTCATATAAATTTCCCAATTAACAAACGCGGACATTTTGGCGACAAACATGGACAAATTACCAAACAAATGACGACCAGAAACGCCGTGAGGGGGGTGAGCGAAATTGTGGATTTATTCCTAAGTAGCTAATGTGGCAAATCACTTCTCGCACACACAGATACACACAGCGAAATATTTATGTATGTATGCATGCATGTATACATTGAATGCTTAGATAAACTTTTCGCAAATACCAACCGAAAAACGGATACGCATCCGGTTCAGATATAGCTATAGCTCCTATATATATGGTTATATATATATATTTATATATCTTTATCCGATTTTAAATTAATTTAGCACCAAATGGGCAATACAAGTCCGAATTTAAAAGATACAAATGATTCGGCATATTTAGTCCTTTGAACTTTAAATTATAATTATAATCATAGCGTATATGATTGAATTTTCCTATAAACACTTTTAATTGTTATGTGGAACTCTACTAAATTAGCAATGTGGTGTAGGGTATCAAAAAGTCGGCCTCGCCCGACTTTAGGACTTTCTTTACTAGTTTTTCCATTGAGATTAAATTTTGCAATTTTTTTTTTTGGCCCAGGAACGAACCCTATGAAATTGGTGATAATCGGGTCAGGTTTAGATATGGCTCCTATACATCAAATGACCTGAATTTTGGTACATCCCATCGAATTTTAGTCTAGAATCGAGTTCATCAAATTTGGAGAAAATAGGTTACATGTATATGTTTCATCCGATTTGGGGTTTGAGGTCTCTCACATGGTTAATATGCACTCCACAATAATTATATTTGGTACCAGATATCAGATACAGCTCCGAAATAAGTGTGTCAAATGTTGTCAACATCGGTTCTGATTTGGATGTAGCTCCCATATATATCTTCAACCGATTTCGGGTTAATTGTGCACCAAATGTCAATATCAGTCCAAAGTCCTGAATTTTGGTACATCCGACCGAATTCAGTCTAGAAGCAAGTTCATCGAATTCGGAGAATATCGGTTCAGATATAGCTATAGCTCCCATATATAGGTTACATCCGATTCGGAGTCTAAGTCCCCCACATTCGTTATATGCACCCCACAAAATTATGTTGGTATCAGATGCAGCCCAGAAGTATCTCTTCCAAATGTATCAAGATCGAGTCAGATTTGGATGTTTTAATGCCATGAGGAAGGGTATACGCAAACTTAGGGAACTTAATTAAAAAATTGTTGTTGTGTCCCCTTATGGAAAAGTGGTATCAAAGGAAACCAAACCAAAGGAACCTTCACAGAAGGCATATGAGGTACCAAAAACGGATGTACCAACCTCCAGAGCAAGGGAAAGTAAGGCTGAGGTTGAATCAACGGAACAGCAGACTACTAAGAAGTCTGCGAGGAAGAATAAAAAATCGATGCCTGCTAAACCCTTGAAACCAGCTCAGCCGACTCCATCAGTTGATTTAGCAATCAAACTCGCTACAAGAGTAGAATTAACTGAAAATAAGGCTACAATGACCAGGGGCCTAATGCTCGTACTCGATATCGAGTTGTTTCGATAGATAATTTGAATTTTTGGATTACCGTATCCGTGATCGAATAAAATTCATCGATATGTCGAATAAAACTATTCGAGTTTTTGCCCGCCACATTCTACCTGTCGAGACCAAAACAAAACAGAAGAAAAACGAAATGTAAGTATTAAAAAATGTAATTATATAAATAAAATGGATATAATTGAGCCTTTTATTTCACAGGAGCACGAATTGCAACAAAATAAATTTTAAGCAAAAGGCAATTATGGCAGATTTTATGTCTGACCACCCGGGACTTGCCAAAGGAAAAATTTCGAATTGTCCAGAAGGTAGAGCGTCATCCAATCGTTTGTGGGAGCAGTTGACAACCAAATTATGGTATCCCTTTCGGTTGAAGAACATGTGTTCGTTTTCGGTGGGTTTCTGCAATCCGAAATGTGTTCCATCTACACATCCAATTACCAAAAAATGTAAAAATGCATATATTATTTTATTTTAGAATCGAAAAAGTCAATATATTCTTACCTCCAGGAATCCGAAACTTTGTACAGAAATGTTCCATACACAAAGCCGACTGGTCTGGTGAAAAGTTGATGTGTTCTGGACAAAGTTTTAGTTCCATTTCTTTTGCGACTCGCTGGGCAACCCTGCAGGTTGCGCTTTGGCTCATTCCTATAAGAAAATCATTACCCACAGTGTGCTGAAAACTTCCACTTCTTCCAAGAGTGACAAAGTTGATGCCAATTGTAGAACTGCCGGAATGGACGATGACATATGTCCGGAGAAATCTAGTCTAGATACACATATCGAAAAGCATCTTTTGTCTGTCTAAATCGTTGACGGAATCTGCAATGAATTGCAAAAATTATAAACACCACACTTGCATGCATTTTCATATTATACTTACGCATTTTCTGACAATGATAAGGGGTCACTACGTTCTCGAATTTGTCTTCTTATTATATTTATATTATTACCGTCCTCATCTTCCGAAGAGGATAATACAAAAAAACACGTATCCATAATTTTTTTCAACTTTTAATGAAGCGGCAAACAATTGTTTTGTTTACTTTTTGGATAAAAACATATGTTTCGATTGTCGGTATTTCGATTATTTTTTGACAAAAATCGATAAATTTTTGAATAATTCCATTCGAGTCGTATCATTCAATTAGTAACTACGTAATTTAACTACGAACAAAATCTCACTCTATATCGAGTACGAGCATTAGGCCCCAGGTGTGAAGATGATGATACATAACCAGCTTGACTACATGGCTCGGCATATTTATTGCCATACAACAAAGGGATGTCGAAGCCACCGTGCCGTCGTATCATCACCTTAAGATCTCGCCGAAGAAAACAGTCTCTCAGTGGCTGGATATAATTATTCAAATTTTTGACCCGTTGTGGGAGAGGTACCCAGAAGTAGTGGTGCGGCATATTTCATCTTCATACCTGGTTTTGTGATGATAGAGATATTGGGATATGAGAAATTTGAAGAGAATCAGATGCTTATTTCACATTTTATAAAAGATATAATTATATCCGACCTTCACACCAGATCTTGAGCTGGTAGAAACATTGGGATGTGCGAAATTTGAAGATAATCGGACTTTTATTTCCCATTTTATAAGAGTTATAATTATTTCGAATGTTCACCCTTTATGGAGGAGGTACTTGATGGAGTGGGCCGATATTGTCCTTTTTCGAACCAACACTGATAGAAGTATTGCAATTTGCAAGGTTTGCAAAAAATCGAAAGATCCTTTCTCATTCTATGACATAAGTGATTTTCTTTGGAAAGATATTGTGGGGTTAGTACCAGAAGGAGTGGACCCATGTTACCCACTTCCGAACTCGATCTGAGTTTGAAAATAATATTACGATCGGATACTCCCTTCGAGAGTTATCGTGCGCACCAGCCAAACACACAGACGGACAGACACGCCAAGATCGACTCCAAATGTCCTGAAACGGTTTTGGTCCAAAGAGACCAAATTTCGATGAGAGACCGTAACAAGTGATATATACCCTCTGTAGCCATATGACTGAGGGTATTAAAAAGGTGACGTCCTATGCTTCGCTGGCGACAAAGAAGGATAGTGGCAAGTGCACTAATGGAAAGACGAAAGATGATCCTATCTGTAATGCTTCGCAGAAACCTTGGGAACCAAAACAGAAGCAGGATCATCAGTCTGCTCAATGGATGGTACTAGATTCTTAAAACAATAGAAGATTCTTTGCATTATGATATTTCACATACTCTATAATGGAGGTAGGCAATTGTTCCTCATGACGTGACCAAGGTTAGCGAGTTCCGTTTTTTATAACGAATATAAGTTATCTCATTGGATTCGTTTTTGATAGCATTTGGTATTTTTATACTCTTCGATAGACCACAGTTTATAATCTTTTTATATCAGCCGTTTTAAAAATTCACACTTCAAAGCTAAATTTCAGATTTCTCAATTCATGTATTACGATATCCTATCTAATTTTGTCATTGAAAAGTAAATTATCACCACTTCGACTGTCGATTTAATTTTGATATTTTTCTTTTTGCTCAGAATGTGAAAGTCTCCTTTTAATATTTCCTCAGTCTGATGGGTCCAGAGGTTATATATCAATTGAAACTGTCAAAAATGTATTCGGTATTAAGCGCCACATCTATTTTGCAAAATACATATCCAGATGTTTTGTCTATCAATTCAGCAAATGACAGCTTTCGCCCGTCAATGTGGTTTATTCTCCACCATGATAGTTTACGAAGCGAATCCCCGACTTGCATCAGGCCATCACATTTGTTTATTTTGTTGATAAAATTAAATATTTTTAGAGAATAGATTTAACATTATAATGTTTATTCTATTCTAAGAATTACGTCGAAACACAACAGAGTTTAAAGGTTGCATATTTAAATCCCATATCATTCTTTCGTTTTAATTACAAATATCTTCATCCAAATGGAGCACAATTCAAACTCCCACCCACCACCTAGCTTATTACCGGTATACACATTCCACTCTCCTGTAATTTATAAATCTGAATGTCATATAAATTTCCCAATTAACAAACGCGGACATTTTGGCGACAAACATGGACAAATTACCAAACAAATGACGACCAGAAACGCCGTGAGGGGGGTGAGCGAAATTGTGGATTTATTCCTAAGTAGCTAATGTGGCAAATGACTTCTCGCACACACAGATACACACAGCGAAATATTTATGTATGTATGCATGCATGTATACATTGAATGCTTAGATAAACTTTTCGCAAATACCAACCGAAAAACGGATACGCATCCACAAATCCGTTTCCGGTTGTAGCAGCATATCTATAAATTCAACTAAATTGTGGCTGTTACAAAATATGTTGCGGCGTATTTCGGAAATGTCCAAATCAACACTCATACAAATACTTGGGCAAATTTACTCGCACTCACACATAGAAACACTCATATCTATGTGTTCATACAAATATGTACAAATGCTGTGGATACAAATACCAAGACAAATATCCATACTAAGTCCTTCATATATATACATACTTAATATAATCTACTCTTATATGTAGACACACTAACACATAAATATGCGGACTCAACACAAATACCCATGAATCCGGGATATTAGTAGCTACTACTGCTGATGCTTCTGCTGAGCGTACGTGTGTGTGTGCCTTAGTTGGTAAGTACTTTTATGCATTTAGTAGTGGTAAGGTTGAATAACTTTTACTAATGTTGGAGTAGCATTAAACATATTTACATATATATATTTATATAGGCTTAGTATTGAGAGAGGTGAATTCGGGAAGTTTTTGAAAATATTTTATACCCTAGTTTGGGGGGCATAACATATTTTCAAAAATATCGGTAGTTCTATAGGGATATACAAAAACTTATAGTAAGGTGGACATTTTTTTGGAAGAGGGCGAATTTCAAACACATTCCCAATTTTACTCACATTCCTCATAATTCGTCTATATATATGTATTTCCACATCTGTATGTATGACTAGCTAATATAATTGTATGCTCTCAGTTAGTGTACACAGATCTTTTGACTGAAGTACACTTTATTAGAAGCAAATATATACTTCGCATACATAGTTTGAGTATGAGCATATCAACATATATCGGAATGTATGTGTGTCGGATATAACAATCATCCATACATATAGACATCAATAGTTGTGGGTATACGCACATTGATGTGACTGCTAAACCTTCAGCTGCCAAACTCTATTGCTATGCAATGTTTATGGGACATATTCATTGCATCCACGCAGATAGGCTTGAAGAGATCCGGCCAATGGAGTGATGTGACATGGCTGCCTACATAAACGTGTAAATAATTTCAAATTAACTGAAACATGTGCGTTAATTATGCTGTGGCAGTCAGTCATCCAGTCACAACAGTGGATGAAGTACTTTAAAATGTCACTTATTTGAAGTTTTAATGATAGAGGGTGTTGCTCGAATGAATGAAATGTGGATGGCAGGCATACAAACGAACGAGACCCTTATGGTCTCACAAGAAAGACATAATGGTCTTCTATAAGAAGTCCTTAGGGGATTTCTAAAAGAAGTCATTAGGGGACACTATAAAATTAACTTAGTGGAGTTCTTTATGAAGTCATTAAAGGACTTCTATAAGAAGACCTTAGGGGAATTCAATAAGAAGTCTTTAGAGGACTTCTATAAGAAGTCGTTGGAGGACGTCTATAAGAAGTCCTTAGAGGACGTCTATAAGAAGCATTTAGGGAACTTCTATAAGAAATCCTTAGTGGACTTCTAAAAAAACCCCTTGGAGGAATTCTATAAGAAGTCTCTAGAGGAAATCTATTAGAGGTTCTTAGAGGACTTCTATAAGAAGTCTTTATCGGAATTCTATAAAAAGACCTTAACAGACTTCTATAAGAAGTCCTTAAGGAACTTATATATGAAGTCCTTTAGGGTAATTCTATAAGAATATCTTTAAAGGACTTCCATAAGAAGGTCTTTAGGGGACTTCCATAAAAAGTCCTTCGTGGACTCTTAGAGGACTTATATAAGAAGTCCCAAGGGGACTTTTATAAGAATATATAAGAAGTCCAAATGCGACTCCTATAAGAAGTCCAACAGGGACTTCTGTAAGAAGTCTAAAGGCGACTTCTATAAGAAATCCGTAGGTGACTTCTATAAGAAGTCCGTAAGGACTTAAGGACTTCTGTAAGAAGTCTTTAGAGGATTTTTATAAGAACTCCTTAGTGGACTTCTATAAGAACTCCTTAGTGGACTTCTATAAGAAGTCCTTAGGAGACTTCTATAAGAAGTCCTTAGCGGACTTCTATAAGAAGTCCTTTGAGGACTTCTATAAGAAGTCCTTTGAGGACTTCTATAAGAAGTCCTTTGAGGACTTCTATAAGAAGTCTTTAAAGGACTTTTATAAGAAGTCCTTAGGGGACTTCCATAAGAAGTCCTTGGTAGACTTCTATATAAAGTCCTTAATTGACTTTTATATCAAGTCCTTAGGAGTTGTTACCTTCTGGTCTTCTATACGAAGACCTCCTGGTCTTCTATACGAAGACCTCCTGGTCTTCTATACGAAGACCTCCTGGTCTTCTAGACGAAGACCTCCTGGTCTTCTAGACGAAGACCTCCTGGTC